GTGATCCCGGTGCTCACTGCTCACTCGCTCACGCCTTCACTCACTCACGGCCTGGCCGCGGCGCACCTCCGCACACCCCGTTCTCAACGCCAGCGACGTGCCGCCTCGGGGCTGCTGGCGCCTGGCGAGAAGCGGGGTGGACGGACGGACAGCTGGGCAGGCAGGTAGCTGCACGGGTGGACGGCCGCATGGGGAAGTTTGGAGAAGCTTCATTCCCGAACATCAGGGCGTCCAGTGTCTGCAGCCTGAAATGGTGGGGAGGAGGGGAGACGGCGACTTTGGTGGGGGGTGAGGACGAGTGCCGTGACAATTACGTCATTCGCAGCGGCCTGGCCGGGGCCGGCCCGCCCTTCAGGTGGCTTCGCAGCATCCTCTGAGGGCTCATCCCAGGCGGGCCAGACTCCCCGCTTGCCCAGGACAGGCTCCTCCGTCCCGTCAGGCTGTCGGGAGGCGGGATTTTGAATGGCACTGCCTTCTGCTCTCAAAAGGGACCCAGTCGGAACCGACGGCCTCCTAATCTTAAGCCAAGAAAAATAGATGGTTTCTCCTTCTTTACAAAAAACTGCCCGTGGTAACGGCCCAGAGACCAAGGGCAAATAGTCACGGCAGCGGTGACAGGGCGGATGCCGCCAGTCACGTGACGGCTTAAATACCTGGCATTACAGAGCTCGCACATAATACTGTGAAATGTCACACAGCCGCTGACGATGATGGCCGTAGCGGGTACTTACTGGCACTTTATTCGCATGTTATCGGCGGGGAGGGGGAAGAACCCGTGCCACGTGACCCCGTTTGGGTAGCTGCAGACGCACATCGTCACAGGCGTGTGTGCGCAAGGACGGACGTCCAGGAGGAGGGGCTCCCCGAGAGGCAGCAGCTGGGGTGATCTCCGGGGCGAGGCAGAGGCTGAGTTTTATCTTCTTTTCTGCACGTTGGTATTTTTACAGCGAGTACCTGTAGCCGTTTTATTATCATTATTTTTAATGTTTTTAATGGACGGGGACTGCACACCCCTCCCCGGGCGCTCATCCCAGTGCTCAGCGCACCTCTTCCCCTGCCAGTTCCTCCCGATGGCTCCCCACGCGCTCCATGCCGCTGACCAAGCCCGGCCCCTCTCATATTCGGTCTCCGTCAGGCGTGGAGGTTGGAGGCCAGCGTCCTGCCCCCGCAGTGAAGGCGGCCGAAGTGCCGAGTGCAG